TAAGCTATAAAACAGAAAATCACTCATTCCTTTCTATAAAATACCTAATTACTCAGCTTAGTATTTGAATATAACATTTCCTTGCTACCTTAGCTCACAGGCCTACCTTACAAGGCACTCAGCAACTAGAAGTGCTTCTGTTCCTCCTTTAAGACATTTTGGCTCACCAGATACAGCTCCTCCAGCCCATTCCTCCTTCACTTTCATGAATTTCTGATAACTTTTGGTACCGCCCCAATCGTTACCATTTGGAAATCACTGAACCAAACATTATGTAGAGGCACTGATCTCTGTGTTGGAGGATTTAAATCCCTTTTGCTTTCCCAAATGTGCTCTTTATCTTGTGAAAACCCCGGGAGGGAGCATTATTTTTCCCTTGTACTTCTTTCCCCTGTTGAAAGCTCAGTCAACAGCACGGTATCATCCTCTCTGCCTCCCCTTCCACCCTGTTCCTCAAGAGTGAGCTCCCCTCACAGCACAGCACCGCAGGGAGATGGTTCTTTTTTGGGGTGCTTAGAACAGCCAAGGTACTCTGTGCATCACTTGGACACAGGAGGAGGCAGGAAAGGGAAGGGTTTTGCCGACACCCCAGCTCAAAGGCTACACCAACCAGCGGTTGTACCACCCCTACCGAGGCACTGCCATGGGGATCACAGAGAAAGTAAACCAAAGAGCACTTTAAAAAAAAACGGGGAAACAGAGAGACCATAGCCTCCAGCAGGTGCCGGGGGAAGGAGGCTGCGTGTTCTCACCTGCATGGAAAGAATTTTTTGCATTCTTCTTTGACTAGCCTTGATTTTAGCCCTCCTTCATCCCATGTAACAACAGCCGTCCAAACTTGTCTGAGCAAAGGGGCAGAGTCACCCGAAGTGCCCTCTCTTGACTCTATCACTACGGGCTGCAGAAGAACAGTTAGGGTGGTTGCATACTATGGCCATACACCCTGCACAACGGTGGTGGGATTTTTATTTCTAGACCCTTCCTGGCTATTGCTTTTCTGTTTCTTGCTATTTCTATGTCATTTGCTTAACTGAAAAAAAAAAAAAAAAAACTTTCTTTACATTGCTGTGTAGAAAATAACAATGTTCTAACACCAGGCAGAACTAATCTTAGTACCAGGTTGTCACAATGGATTGAAACTAACTCTGAAGATCACTCAGAATCTGCTGCTGGCACTAAACGTAGCTACCAGCCTGCTGGGCATGGATGGTTATCAGCTACAAAGAGACTATTACACCAACTCTCTGGAGGCTGCACTGACTTCTCATTTGCTTCCAGATGCAGGTTAGATGGCTGATGTTGACTGACAAAAAGCCTCTTCTGATTTTGGCACCACCTGAGCATGGTCTATCTGCCTGGTGGTGAGGGTCAGTGGAGTGATCTGGCAAACAGTCTCCAGGATCCCAAACTGGGATCCTTCTTGTGGAGGCTTCCCATGACTCAACTTAATATCCTCCACTGACATGCCATAACCTGGGTCTGTAGATGGTCAGTGCATCACATAGGGCCCATGTGTTTCTGTCAGCCTTTTTCAGCTGTAATTTTGAGGTATGGCAAGGAGAGAGTGCCTTTATTGGAGCTGTTTCTATTTGGCCAGGTAGTGGTCTAATGTATTCCAGGATTGTACAAGCAAATTTTTACCTAATATTTCATTTGACTGAAACAGAAAGCTGAACAGATTGGAGATAAAATTTTAGTCAGACTGCTCAAAATTACTTGGTTTTCAAAAGAAAAAAACCACACTTTACTGTGAAATAAACACAAGGGGGAAAAAGGAAATTTTGTTAACTGTTCAAGGTGTTAGCCTCTTCATACAAAATATGAATGCAGATAGGACACTTCAAAGTTTTCCAGCATTCTCAAGGTAGATCTAATCTGCTGAAATCTTCAATGACTGCTTTCTAGACATAGTTTGGGACCAGTACTCCTACCTCCTCCTCCTCTAGCTGATAGCTCTTTCTGATACCAAGAATCATATCTGGCTCCCTGGAAATCCTGTTTCCATTGGCCTCCTGATTCTGTCTTCCCCTAGTGTTTTTTGTGCCTCTGCAATTGCTACATCAGCACACATTGCAGAGTATCCTTCCTACTTCTCCCTTCAGGCTTCTGTGAGCATCCCCAATGCTCTTTCTCTTCTCCCTCTTATCTGTATAGAATCTTATCTGCAAAAAATTATTCAACTAATAATTCATTGTGACTGTTTCTTGGATCTGCTTACGCTCTCCAGACCGTTGTTCTCCTGTCCAAAGGAACACCTCAGCCTGTCTCTCTGACGCTTCTTTACTGATGCTGACCCTCAGTTCAAGATCAATACGGCAAGAATTAAAGTCTTAATAATTTCTCCCTAAAAGCTCACTCCATACTATTTGCTCAATATCGGTGGACCACACCATCATCTTTCCTGTCCTTCACGTTCATGATTTAGGTATCATTTTCATCTGTGGGCACTCTCTTTTGAGCTATATTTAAATCTTGTAGATTTTTCTCCTGTACAAGCTTTCCTTATCAACATACAAGTCTGGACTTGTCCCGATTCTCAGCATCTCAGTCACTGCAGTGCATCACTACCTGGTTTTCTCTCCAGCCTCTAATGTAACCTTGTTCCATGCACATCTATTCAAACTGTGCTGCAAAGATCCCTTTCTCTGCCCACCATTTTAACCTTGAAGCTTTCTCTTGGACTCTTTCTGCCGCTCCCTCCTGTCCCCTTTCTTCATTTACCAACCCGAGCAAATGTAAGCTGCTTCTGTTCTTGTGGCAGGTCAGTCATAGCCTGTCTCTCCTCCACGCTGAAAATGTTGATTTTCAGCTCTAGCAATTAATTATGTGAATCTTTTTCATTTGCCTTACATAGAAGTACCTTTGTGCTGTTTCCAAAGTCACCCCCTGTGTTTCTGAGGGGCTACGAGAAAACATCCCCAGAGTTACTCTTGTCTGGCTTTCTATCACTCTGAAGTTTTCTACTTTGATGTAGTGCCCACAAAAGGGTGTCAAAGTGCAGTGCCAAGACCACTGCCTCGCACGCTGGTTCTCCTGGCTCCTTTGTACTCCCTTTTCTACTTGTATTCACCGGTTGTTTCTTGCCAGGCTCTTTGGGGTGATCATGACTAGGGCACCTACGCCCTAAGATAAAACAAAACAGTTTCTACCGATGCTTATTGCAAATCCCACAAAGGTTCCCCTCCCCCTCCGGTCCTCCCAAACTTTGCTCTCTAAAATAAAGGGGAGATAAATATGCTCATTTGCTCAGAAGTCACAGTAATCTCGCATTCATTACTGATGATGGGATAAAGTCAAAGGAGGCAGAGATTATGCGTTCATTTCCCTATTTACTATACGAGTAAAACAACGATTATGAATTATTGAAGTAAAAATCTAAACTTGGAAAATACTTCCAAAAAGCCTTCTCTGTACATTACCCTTAGTAGTACATTTGAACACGGGATCACACGTGGTAGGCGGATGGGCAAAGAACAGAAGGCAGTTGACTTGGCCAAGGTTCCCCTGTGTCCATTTAACTACTGTTGCAGTAATTTGTTTTTCTACTTCATAGTTCCATCTCCTCCTGCTTGTTTGATGTCATAAAAATCCAGCAACTGCGGCAGTTTGCACAATGCATGTTATAGCCTTGTGTTCGTATACAACAAATTCAGCATTCTGGATTCATTCATGATTCAGATTGGAGGAGAAAATAGTTTGGGATGGCACAAGCCCTTGATTAAAGCTTTAGGGCCAAATCAACAACAGCTGAGGATCCAGCCCATATGGCCTGAGATCTTTAGCTGTGTAAAGGCTGCAGGAATGGGCCCAAATAGCTTTGGTAATTAGCAAATATCGTATAAAATAGATGAAAAGTCTTTGGCAGGGAGTGCATATTGAGTAACATTTGAAAATTATTCATAGCATATTAGTATACTTCTTTAGAGATAAAACTCAATGGCATAAAAATAATTTGAGAGGGGCAACTCTACTCTCTCATGTGACTGTCAAGAGGCAAACAGTTTGTTGGACCGATCGGTATTTTACAGTTACCTTTAGTCAATGCAATGAAGGGCAGAGGTGACCATCTAACACCTGGGACCCGATGCTACAAGCTGCTCTGCCTCTGCAGAAGCCTCCTCACATCCCATGGGGACTCTTCAGCCAAGCTGCTTCCCTGTGCGCGGCGAGCTCCCGTTCTTGGGTAGGTATTGCAGGTCACCCTGAACTCCTCAGCGCCTCGGTCACCCAAGAGCACCCAGAACAACACCCAGAGACATCCACAGAAGCAGGGCTGAGCCTGCTGCTACCTACATTCACCAATTATTGCACTGTGTACAGCAGTAAACAATAACATAGCAATTAATCACCCCGGTGTGGCCGTAAGAGTTACTTTCACAGATTATGGTAAGCAGCACGCAGTGTGGAATAAATCATCTTTCACGCAAACTCTGAGGAATGGCATGTTATAAAATCACTCCTGATAAAAATCTAATGAAAATGTAAAACATCTCAGTACAGTCTCCTGGGTAGAGTCATGATCATATTAAACCCTCAAGAGACAACGGTCAGGGATTTCAATGAGAATCAAGAGACAGTTTTCCCAGGATGAGCTTGTTAACCTGATATAAAGACATGATATTGATTTGATAGCTTTGTCTCTTTTGCCATTTCCTTCATGTAGCCTATTTTTAATTTAATCATCTTCCATTAATTTATTTAAAGGCTTTATTCATCAAAACAAAATCTTTTTTTTTTCCTAAAAGCAAAGATTGTTGAAGTGCTGAGAATATAATTCAGCACACGGAGTGTCATAAGCAGAACAGGTCTGTTGTCATTGCATTTTCAGAAGTTTTTCAAGAATAGTAACAAACAAAGTCACTCTCCCATGGTCTTAAAGTTCCCTGTGACTGGTTTTTAAAGATTCTGTAATCAGCTCTCTTACAACGACATCACAATCTAGCAATCTCAGGACATGTGTCAATGACAGTTACCATTTTGAAATGTTCATTAGGATTTACCTGCTGGTGGCTTTATGAAAGGTGGTGGAATTAATGGGACAATAATAGGTACATTCCCGTGATCCTTCGACCCTGCTGGTGAGTCTGAAAGTCCATTTCCTGTGGCAAGCCCTGGGTAGCCGGGGTTTATATTGTACGGTGAAATAACACTGTCCTCAGGTAATTTTGGTTTTGGCAAAGAATTTTCTGTAAAACACAAAGAACACATTGTACAGTATGACAAATATCTTTCTTAAATGCCCCTACAGACTTTCACCAATCTATTCATTAAATTACTTACCCTAATACAAGAAGAGTGCACAACCCTCTCCAGATATTTTCCCTTTTAAAATATGGATACTTTCCAGTATTCTTCAGAAACACTCCATTTTAATAAATCAAACTCACACTAAACCCAACTATACTTTTTTTTTTTTTAAAAGGTGAGATTATTTTGTAATATATATCCTTAGTACACCTGATTTAATCAATGATACCCTATTCATGTCCTTTATGTCCACCGTTTGCATGGTCATCACACTCAGTGTACTGCGACTTCACCCATGCAGGAGACATACACTGAAAAATAAAAGAATTCCTAATTCTCTATCAGTAATACTGGTAGCAGTAGCAGTAATGGAAAGGATCTAAAGAAAGGAAAAAAATATTGAAATTACAGCAAATTGTGCATGAAATTATGACAGTTATTATTCTAATTCTTTAATCCCAAATCACCTCAGGATTCTTATTTGTAGAAATTTCTCTAATGCACCTCAGTTAGCTATGGGGCAGGACTTAATTCTTATTATTCCCTCTCCTCCCATCTCTCAGAAAAAGAAACACACTTTTTTCCCTCCCACAGACTGCATACACCAAAAGTTTCTACCTGGCACGAGTATTCGACATCTTTGTTTGGTACATAAAACATGGTTTGTATCATGTGTCTACAAAAAAAAAATGTCACAAATTTCATCAGGCGTAGACTGGAGCCACAAATCACTCAATAAAAGATCTATTTATTAAAACATAAATAAATTAATTGCATTACTGCATAGGAACAAGTTTCTTCAAAGGTGGCTTAATGACCTTGTATTTTCAATGAAAAATAAATATTGATCACCAATGTCACTATAGAACTAACAAGCTGCAAATGTTCGATTTTAACACAGTTAGGTTGTTTTCACCTTACCTCTAATTTTTCTACCATTTTTCTATCCACCTCCCCTTCAGAACTGGTCTCTGGTACCAGTACTCATTGAAACACTCTCTGAATATAGCCCCGCTGCTGGCCGTCAGAAAGCAAGCCCAAACACTGCTGGCCACAAAGGCGGTGAAAAGTGGCGGTCCGGGAGTGTAAAAGCTGCTGCAATTTCCTCTCTTTACCTCGCCTTTGAGGAAGTCTTGTTGGATAAGTCAAGATGCAGCAATTTCCTCTCTTTACTCGCCTTTCAGGAACTCTTGTTGGATAAGTCAAGACGCAGCAATTTCCTACTCTTTGCTTCCCTCTGGTCGCAAGCCCCTGCCCCTTTGCTGTGGCTGCGGAGCCAGGAGGCAGCAACCGAACAGCTGAACACGAAGCCTGGATCCCATCCTTCACATTGTGAGTTATCTCGTGCTACGTGAAGATCTAGCACTGTCCCAAACAAATTCCACCCCTGGAGAACTTCTGCAGCACTTGCAGAAGACACTGTGGTACAAACATCCCTGAGGAGCCTTTTGTGAACATTCATAGCGATTCCCACAGGCGCTGTGAATATTCCAGCTCAAAATCCTTCAGCATTTTAAAAAGCCGTAGGCCAAAAAGCCTTAGTTTTGGAAGGAAAAGGGTTCCTTAAAGCCACAGAGCTAAGAAAGTGCTCTCTCTTTTTTCCAGTTGTGAGCAGTTCATTGGTACCACAGGAACATGACTTTCAACTGACTCACAAAAGGTATTATTTGTGAAGACAGGTTAGTAAGTGCCTACAGACAGCAATTTTGTTAAGCGATTTTCCCTGTACTCTATTGGCTTCCTCGTACTAGAAGGGACTCTCCGATATTTTTATTTAAACCAACCACGAAGCAAGCAGCAGAACACACTTCCCAGTCCACGCCAATTCAGACAGGTTGAGATATTAATCCCTCTTTGCCCAAACACAGAAACATTAAGTCTCATTACCTTTGAGAACAGAAATGTGCTGGCGGCTTTCCCCGTCTGCCGAGTAGTTCCTGAATTCAATATCTTCTCCATCTTTCAATTCAACCTTATCATAACCATACCAGCCAAGGAGCTCATTCATAGTGTTTTCTGCAAAGTTCTGAAAGAGAAAAATTACCTACTTATTTATGTAATCAATAACCATTTGGAAGGAAGGGAGGACTGCATAAATCGAACCGTATCTGTGCTACACGAGGAAGTGTCAGGTTTGGCCCACCTCCTCAAAGACTAATGTTCGTTTCATAAGTCAAGTGCATAAAGTGTAATGCATTTAAATCTCTGACTGGCACATGTAATTATGACAGAGACTTGTACGTCTGTAATTTAAAGAAAATGAAAAGGAGAGATATTTATGACTTTTGCTCCAGCATTCAATGTCAGAAATATTGTAACATACATTCGTCACACAAACTTGTCTGTGTTGCCATAAAATATTTAAGACTGCAGCAAGAGAATAACAGAAAACTAGGATTTTTTTCAACCAGCAGTTAATCAATCTTACTGCTCTACAGTCTTTTCAGCTGGAGCAGGTCACTGACACAATTACAGTTCCTTGAGTTGCCCATGAACCAAATCAAATAAAATCACAGCAAAGATGTTTTTTCCTCAGAGTTATAGGGCCTTGCATAGTCAAACCACTTAAAAACTCTTTATCATGAAACCATTTTACCATAACGTTTCAGATAAACACCTCTTATATTTACTTAAGAAAACCTTTCTCAGTTTTGCCATATTTATTTTCAAACCGATTTCCAAGCAGCCGTGTGGTTACATTTTATGTTTGTATGGAAATGCAAAATACGGAACATGACTGTCATAACTCTCAAATTCTATTAAAAACACATCCTCTAGGTCATGTGGCAAAAATATTTCTGTAGAAAACGCTCATTACTGGGCCAGGAGATTTAGTGGAGCAACTTAAGAAATCTGCAGCCAGGCAACAAAGCTTTTTGAAACCAAATAGTGCCATGGAGCTCTAGGGCTTACGGATTTAGGAAACTACCAAAGGAAACCAGCTAATGAATTATTGCAACGGCAAAGATCAGTTTAAAGCACTATGACAACTATGAAATGAAATGAAAAAGCCACACACAAAGCCTTCCAGTTTGGTCTCTGCATTTTTTTATTATCACTCTTTTAAAACAAATTCCAAAGTTCGTTTTCCTGCAAGATCTTGACATCTAAAATAATGTTCCTGATATGCAATCTCTTCTGGGACTCTAGCTACCAGCAAAGGAACAAGGAGAATACAGCACCAATTCAAAACAAATGGTACGTGTCAAATTTGCAGGTTGCTAGATTTTGTCTAGTAACTGCTCTAGCTTAATTTTTGAGTGGGAGCAAGTCTAATGATAGAACACAGCAATTCTCCAGTCATTTAAATAAATAAATAAAATTAATCAGATGATAATTGCTTCTGAATTCAAAGCTACAGCAGGCGCTCTGCCCTGGAACGTCAGAGCTGCTCTGCTCCTGGCTCATTCATCACACCAGATTGCATAGGTGTTCCTGTCACTCAAGGAGCGCTGTAAAGCAGCTATAAGCAATAAACACAAGCAATTTATACTCTTCCAGGAGTATCCTCTGTGCAATTGTGCTACAAACACATGTTTCAGGAAAAGAAAAAAAACAAAACAAAATGCCACAGCAGACCCTTGGAGCATCAATTTCCCCTCTGGTTTTTCCCTTTCATTTTCACTTGACCTTCTCCTGGAAGTCTCGGTTCCGTGGCTGTCCTCTGCAGCCCCAAATTGCTGGAAAACATCATATCATTCCACCTCTATCTCTACTGTTAGCACTACAAGTGCAACAACCCGTTACGTCTGAACTATGTCACTACTACAGTTTGCAATAGCATGTACAATGCAGTGTAATGTGCCTAATACCTACACTGATTTCTAAAATTATATATATAGGCTCATTTGAATGATGCATTGTTGTAAGTGTTTTAAATACTAGCAAAAATGGGAAATTTTTCTGAATTTTTTTTTGTTTTCAGCTTTTTAGAAAATCCTTCTCAGAGCGCTGAAAGTCCCAATGCACAAACCCTGTCTCTAACCCATGGGAATCCAACAACAAAATGACCTGGGGATGGAGAATGAAACCTTGCCACTGCAGCTCACCCACAATGGCCCGACAGGTCCATGGATGCCCAAAGACAAGCTCCACCAGATTCCTTTGCTTTGCTGAGTTTCAACAACGGAGATGCAGCCCGAGAGACTCATCTAGCAAGGTAGAGACCAAAGCCTTCCTGACTTAAACCCCTTGCAACCAAATTAATTGAGTAGCTCTAAATTTGCTTCCTGTGGATGCTTTTTGCTTTATTTGCACTGTTGATCAATTCAGGCAATGAGTAATTTCTAATTACTCATCAAGGAATAGGCAAGCAAGGCTGTATATATGTTTATTTTTTCCTGAAAATTCATATATTTATATGTCTCTTCAGAATCTAATCAAAGTGATGGTTGGGATTGTCATAGCACAAAGTTTAAGTACCTTACAAGCCTTATCTTAACATCCATGATGAGTCATGCACAAAAATGAACAGTCGTAACAACAAAAAAGTACATCTGATTTTGAAATTACTCATAATAGAGTTGACTCTTTAAAAAAGATAAAAATCACTGGGGGCCTTTGCTATGAACTTCAATGAGAGTAGAATGAGGTTACATATTAGCAGTAACAAAAGTAAGCACCGTGATTTCTCAACAAGGATGCTTGGATAAATGAAACAATTAAGCCATTCTCCTTCATAATTTATCTTACATATTACAATGGTGGTGATCACTCTTAATACTATTCTCCTGGTGGCTCACAGCCAGGGCTTCCTTACACAGCACACTGTACACAGCAAACCAAGAGGATGACCCCATCCTCAACAAGCAGATGGTCAAAGCTGAGAATTGTTTCCTTCCACACCAACTCTCTTGCATAGACGGGTGTCCACAGAACCACGACATCATCTTCTCTCAGACTCCTGACTACAAAACCTGTTTGCAGCCACATCTAACACCCTTTCCATCAAGATGATGGTCACACAGGTCAAGCACTTGCTGAAGCTGCAGCCCTGGAGCTGACCACTATTACTTCATTGTTTCCTCGTATTTTTCCTTCTCTCCATTTCATTGGTAGGCCCAGTCTATGTGGGTTCAATATAGGTAACAAGATGGGAGATATAAAGACCAGTGTGGTGGCAATAGTCAAAATAAAACTGATGAGAGGAGACAATTTTTCTCTGTCTGAATGCAGTAAGGGAAAAAAAAAAAAGCCCAGTCCTTGATGAAGTTAAGGAAAGGAAGCAAGCCAATTAATACATAACCTGTATGTGCACAGCAGAAGCTCACTGAAGGATGTACAAGCTTCAAAGGCTTAGTGAAAAGAAAGGTGATGATTGTAACCATGGTGCTTGAGAAAAGCAAGAATGCAGAGCCTGATGTTGAGCCAGGAGAGCCGAAGAAACTGTGATGGAGCAGGCTAGAAAGTAATCAGCTGAACTGAGAGACAATGGGCCTGCCAAAGCCCAGGGAGAAAACAAGTGTGGGTGACCAGATGGAGGATGTGCAAGGAGCTGCAATTCCAAGGTTTTTCAGGAACAGGACAGTAGAGGCACTGAGCTAGTCCATGTCTACTTTCAGCCCCATTCCCCAAAAGGATGTGGAGGGCCTGCAGGATGGAGGCTGCCACCCCAGCCCCACAGCCCTGCCAGAGGGCTGGCATGAGGTGGAAGACCATCACACCAGGGAAAACCTTGCCCATCCTCAATAAAATCCCAAGTCAGCAATCACACTGCCAAGCTGGGACCCTTGAGCACAGAGCGAATCCCACCGAACCCAAGAGGAGTCCTGCAGGGGTCCGCGGATTTCACTGCAAAATTACAGCACCGAAGCCAACTTCACCCTGCCGGGGAGGCAACACTCCGTCCCCCGCAGGGAAACCAAGGGACCGAGCCCCGGTCCCGCTCACAGCGTGGGCCGGCCTTGGAGCTGAGAGGACGAGCACAGAGGTCCTGCCCTGCATCCTTCTGGGCTCACACCACCACGCCACGCTCGGCCTCTTGTGCTCCAGAGGCTGCAGCGGAAAACACCCATAACCTCTTCGGCCTCCCCCTCGGCCTGCACCCAGGCAGTGGGCTCACATCCCACCAGAGCCAAATCTCCTGTGCTCCTCTAGCCGACAGCCCAGGTGTATAGCCACACATCATGGAAGCCACCAGGGCATCTCCCACGGCTGCAGCACAACGGGCTCGTCCCTGCCAAAGGAACTGGCCCCCAAACGCCCCAGTGGCCCCACTCACACAGCACCACCAAAGCCCTCCCTCATAAGATGGCAATTCTTTCCTTGCCCCCCTGCTAAGTCCCAAACCACTTATCACCACTGCGGGGCAATGTGTAATTTGCATGTTTTAACTGTATGATTTCTCTATTCTTGTACTATACAGAAATATCCTCCCTCCTGGAAGAGCCAGGATAACTAACTAACTATTATGCTCGTTGGTATTTTGACTTGAATTTGCTTCCTATTCATGGCAAAGATGAAGAATAGTGTGTTGACTCGCCAGACTGTGGTTTCTCTCCTTTGTGAGACTGACTTACACGCTACACATTTATTCCCACTTTAGGATTCATTTCATCGTAACAGTACACCTACAGCTTGATTTTTCACATTGCAATGCATCATTTTCCCAAATCTTCACTAATTAATACATTCTGAAGCTGAGCCACGCTTCTCTTTCCATCTTAGACCTCTCGCCTTTCCTTCTCTACGAACCTTATTCACAGGGGGCAAGGCCTGGCTTCACCGACCGAGGCCTGGCAAACACGGAGGCAGGAAACGCAGGGGAGAATGAGTCTGTCAGACTCATTTTCTTCTAGGTTTTACTGCTGAATGTTTATTTCAGATCTGGGAGGAAGCACGGTGGCTCCATTCCATTTCCTTGCCTGCAGAACCCACTCGGTGCAGAGCCCCACAAATTCACTTTTCACTTTCACTGCACCAAGGAAATATAAATGTTTCTATAGCCACAATATGAACTTGGATTTTATTTATTTGTTTTTTTTTCTTTTTACTAGCCCTCACTTTCTCCCCTTATTTACGTTGTCGCCATATTGCATTTTATGGTTAGGCCTTTGGGCTATCAGAAAGCAAAATTTCTTGATGCTTTAATTTCCTTTGTCCTCCCACATACACCTCTGGTTCCGAAACGCCCGGGTTGTTTGGGGAAGCGCTGTTTCTAGGACTCACGGGCAGGTGAGGCTCCCTGCACAGCCCACACAGCTCCCTTTTCCAGCCATCCCACAAAACTCCTTCCACGCAGACTCCGCGAAAAAAACCAAAAACCAAACCCAAACGCACCTCGGTCTCCCAAAATAGTACGATTGATAAAGTCTGTCTGCTTTTCCACTTTGCCAAAGACATTTTTTTTTTTTTTTTTTTGCTTTTCAGGAGAGAAGGGAGGAGTTTCCTTGGAATCTTCTGAGCGCTCAGAGTGCTCTGACTGGCCCCGGGCGCAGCACTGCTACGCCTGCTTCACCGCTTCCCTCCTTCCGACAGTAGTACTTTTAAATGCCAAATGGGGAATATTAAAACACTAAACTGAAAGATCTTCTGATGAGTTTACTATTAAACTATAACAGATGGGGCTGTCTTAAGCTCTAGGCATCGGGAACAAAGCCCAATTTTAGATACAAATTAGTTATTGAGAATATTTATAGACGGTAAACTCCTTGGGCGCACAGAGCAGCCCTGTGAAATTACAGCACAAATTAATTGCTCGCCTTTCAACTGACAGAGACGTGCAGATACATTGTCTTGTTTGTGCAGGAGAACTTCCAGTGCAATCCATACTAGATGTAACTTCATTTCACAACACCAAGCTGCTCCTGAGGAGAGGGATGGCAAATGGAAATAAGCTGAGGAGGGATGGATGGGGGAGCCATCACCGTGCCTCGACAAGCACTTTCATCAATTAAACTGTAAAAAATATTTTAGTCTTAAAATAGTATTGGGTTCCCCGATTATGATAGCTTTGGATCTGTTATCTATTAGGTGTTCTGTTATTCACCAGTGAGTGAGAAATGGCACTGCACTGAAGGAGGTGAACAATGCTACCCCTGGAAATAAAAACGGCGAGTATCGTCTGCAGGAGGAAGGGGGACAAAAGAAAACAATAATCAGAGAAAAGAAAGAGAGGCTGTGAAGGTCACAGCAAAACAAAACAATTCCTCCTGAATATATTTTTCATTGAAATGTAATATCAGAAAACTGTGCAGTCATGTGCTTTTTTGCACAAAACATTGTATCGTATTAAAATTTGTTATGACCAGCATGTACATTAGGTTAGAGATAACAAAAATGTAACTTAATATCTGGCATAAGGGAAGAGCAAGCAACCTGAATATCTATCCAGTCGTGTTAAAACTGAGCTGTGACACTAGTCGGAAGACAACAAACCAAGCAGTTAGGTGTTGTGACCCTTCTCGAGTAAATATCTGACTGTATCGAACAGCAAATCTTGAAGGAAGTCTCTGGGATGAGGTAATTTTATTGCTCATTCATAGTGCCCTGCATTTGCTGTACTTAAAATAGACACTTGTACCAATGGCCTTTTTATTACCCGGAGGAAAAAAAAAAAAAAAATCACATATACACCAGTCCCTTTTCTTTCTGCTCGCAAAGGGAGGCAATTTGATCCAACGTGGGCTGAAACCTGAGTAGGTCACTGTACACCATGATAAAATTCCCTAATCCCTGAGCCAAATTTCCCTGAGGGGGCCCTCCTACTTCTCCTTCACTTTCCAAGCTGACTTTTCCATTCCCTCTCTCTCGTCTTTTCCTCCCCTTCATCTCTTTCATTTCCCCTACCTTAAAGCCTTGATATCTGATCTGCTGCTGATACTCGGGTTACAGTTTTTACAGCTTAGGCTGTCTATTGCTGTATACATTCCTTTCTTTCTGCTCTGCCGTGATTACTTACCAGAGCTTATTTTACACTGGTCCAGATGAAAGCAGTTCAGATGAAGGGAAACAGTCAGTCTGTTTGAACATTACAGATATGAACCCACACAAGGGCACATTGTGCTCCCTCTGTCATTTCGCTGCAAACATTTTGCACAGTGTAACCAATTTGTTGCATTATTGTATTCCCCGGGTTTACCCAGAACAACCAGACATCTTAATCCATCAGTAAAGAGAAAGAGTGAGTGACCGCCACAGGATTTTAACTTTCTCAACAAGTCAAAAACTCAAGCCACTTTTTTTTTTTCTTTTTCTTCCTGTCTCTCTTTCCCCCTCTTGGGTGACAGCAGCCAACTGTCCTACTGAAAATGTAGTCTCCCAGCACAGCACATGTAGCACAATTTACACCAAAAGGTGGCCTGTGTTTTGTGAAAGGTTCTGCCACCAGCTGTCTCACTCTCAACCAGAAATTCATCACATTGGTTCAACATGCCATTTTTACCCGCCTTTAATTTTTAGGTCAGCTGAAATCTTGAGGTTTCTAACCTTAAGCAGCTACCCATGGTTAAAAAAAAAAAAAAAAAAAAAAAAAAAAAACTTTAAAGAAAAAACCACAACATTTTGGAGGATTTTGTTGTCAATTCCCCTCTTGACTCTAGATACACACTTGTGGGTGTATGTTCATGTATGCAATTAGAGTGCCACATGTTAAAAAAAAAAAAAAAAAAAAAAAGAGAAACTCTCTACGTGAAGGTTAATGCCAGTGCTTAATACCAAAGCATTAGTTTAAAATTGTGTAATTTTTCTCCTTCACACAATGTTGTTTTTGTTTCTTCCTCACCCTTTCAGACAAACATCTGTTATACTGTAGAAGAACAACTATCTCCCAAACCGCTGAGTGTGCCTGCAGCCAAAGTAAACAAAACAAACCCAGAGGATCCAGCACAGTCAGCCTTTATATCCAGCCAGGATAACATTTCACATGTTTTGATTAAAATTAGCTAATTTGTAATTCTAGAACCTATGAAACTTAAAAGCTGCAATCCATATAGATCGCATCAGGCGATGCTCTGAGGGGCCAATGCCCTATCCTACATACCTCCGCAGTCCCCAAAACTACGTGGGATTACCACCAGCAATGACTCTCACTCCCCGGTCCCTGCACAGAGCCCTCTCCCAAAATAGGATGTGTCATATATCTCGCAAAGAATAACACCGCCGCTCCTTGGGACTTGAAACGGGGAGGGTTTATTTCCGAATAGACGCACCGACACGTTATTTTGTTGGTTCCCCTGGTACTACTCTTGTCCACATTCCCAGCTGATGCGCAGGCAGAACTGTGCCCGCGCTCATCACACAGGCAGCAGGAGACCCAACGCCTGCCTTGGGCAGGAAAGTGCACCTCACCGAAATTAGTGGTGGGGAGAGGGGAGGGGATTGTGCATTCCCATTTAATTTCACACGGGGAGATGGAGGCTCCAGAAAGCAAAGCTATTTTCACTAGGCAGCACACACATTTGTACACTCGCCTCTATAGTGTACACACTATGCCAGTGCGTGACATTTTCCAGGCAGTCCTCCACTTGCAATCAGCCTTATAATAAATGACATATTCAAATGAGATGACAGCAGCTTTATCTTATAGCCAGACTGTGCCGTTTTAGACACTTTTATCTGTGCATTAAACAACGACAACAAGTTCAGCCGAAGTCTCGCAAATACGGTGCTCTCAACTTGGGGGAATTAGGGATGTAAAACAAACAGACACAGAACAGACGTGGAAAACAGGCGCAAAAAAAAATAGGACCAGTCAAGGCTGGAGCAGCGACCTAACGACAAAAGAAGTCCCGAAATAACGTTTTTGTGCCATCGCAGCCACCCTAACATCTGGAGCGGCCGCCTCAAGCGCTACCTCCAGAGCACAGCTGGATTGGCACAGCTTCCTATCGAGGCAGGGCAGCCCTCCCTCCTCCGCAGGGTAAATACACTTCCATCCCCAAAGCAGCCCCCCGGACAGCCCCCCTCCCTTTCCGCATGCCCCCCTCCGCCGCCCCGACGGGCTGGGAAGCGGGGCCGGGGAAGCAGAGGAGGCGGAGGGAGAGCCGAGGGGTCTCCGCGCTCAAGTGCGAGAAGGATGCGCGGCTCAGCTCGCAACATTTCACTTTGACAATTTAATTACACAGTTGCAGCCGGCTACTGAAAAAAAAAAAAAAAAAAAAAAAAAAAAAAAAAAGACCAAAGCTCTAATTATTCTTTAAATCTAAGGGACCAACACAAGCATCAGGAAAATAAATCTGATTGAAACTGAATAAAATGCTAGCAGAAGAATAAATCAATATAGACTCTCTATAAATAAATTAAAAACAAACAACACAAACAACATCTTAATCTTTGGAGTGGAGCAATGTTGAAATTGGGGAGTGGAATACAAATTATTTCTACATCCGCTCAAGAGTTTATAGTTTTATCAGCAGTTCTCTCTGTTGGGATTGCCTGTGTCACCATTGGGCTTAGTTATGGCTCTTTCAGGCCTTTCTCCCACTTCTTCACCCAGACCCAAAAAAAAAAAAAGGAAAGAAAGGCAGTGTTTTTAAAAGAGGTCCCTTTCTTTCCTAACTTTAGGGTTTCCCAGCTACCTGAGGGGATGGGTACAGGACAAAAAAAAAAAAAAAAAAAAAAAAAAAGGGGAAAACCAACCAAAAAAAGCCTGCATAGGATGAGGTGACAGGCATGGCAGGATTTACTGGC